AGCCTGCTGACGTGCACAACATCACTGGGTGTGGTTGCAGGCAGGCTTGTGGTCTCAGATGCAGCAATGATCTCATAGGTGACATCGGTTACCTGGCGGATGATACGGTAAGGACCCATGTAGCGAGACAACAACTTCTCTGATAAGCCAACTCGACGAACTGGGCACCACAGGAGAACAAGAGAACCGGGTGAGAAGTGAACGTCAGCATGCCGGCTGTCGTAGATGGCTTTCTGGGTGGCTTGCGAAGCCGAAAGTCAAGAGCGGGCGATCTGACGTACGTGGTCGGCACGAGCAATAGCGTCGCGTGCATATTCGGTTGACGGCGTTGTAGTGGTTGGAAGTAAGGTGTCGAGTGGTAACTTCGGATCACGGCCATAAAGCAAATAAAAGAGTGAATAACCAGTAGTGTCATGGCGCGAAGAATTGTACGCGAAGGTCACGTGAGGTAGCGCCAGGTCCCAGTCATGGTGGTCGGAAGACACATACATCGCGAGCATGTCTATGAGGGTCAGATTTAGCCGTTCGGTAAGGCCATTTGTTTGGGGATGGTAGGAAGTGGTCAGCTTGTGGTGCGTCGAGAAAGAGCGCAGAAGATCGTCGACTACACGGGACAAAAATGCGCGGCCGCGATCCGTGAGTAATTGGCGAGGAGCGCCATGGTGTAGGATGATGACGTGGAGCAAAAAGTCCGCAACGTCACTAGCAGGGCTGGTGGGGAGCGCTCAAGTGATGGCATACCTAGTCGCGTAGTCTATAGCAACGGCGACCCACTTGTTGCCCGATTTCGACTCGGGAAAAGGACCGAGAAGATTTATACTAACACGGAAGAAAGGTTCGGTTGGGTTGGAGATTGGTTGAAGAAGTCCAGCCGGGGGCGCAGTAGGTCGCTTCCTACGTTGGCATTTATCGCAGGGGGACACGTAACGGCGAACGGACCGGGCGAGACCGCGCCAAAAGAAACGGCGACGCACGCGGTCGTACGTCCGAGATACACCCAGATGACCAGCAGTTGGTTCATCGTGAAGCTCACGGAGCACGGTTGAACGCAAATTTTTCGGCACGACAAGAAGAAGCTCAGGGCCATCTGGCTGGAGGCTACGACGGTACAGCGTGCCATTCAGGAGGACGTACATGCGAAGTGACGTGTCGTTCGGAGCACATTCGAGACGGTCAATAAGTTGTCGCAGAGAAGCATCACGACGTTGTTCATCGCCAATCTGAAGAAACTGGGTCATTGACATGACGCTGAGGCTAGGCTCGATGTCTGGTTCGCCGGGCTGATCAACAAGGTCGCGGGATAAGCAATCAGCGTCCAGATGGAGACGTCCAGACTTATAAGCAACCGAGTAGGAGTACTCCTGTAGGCGTAATGCCCAACGACCAAGCCGTCCAGTGGGGTCCTTCAGAGAAGAAAGCCAACATAGCGCGTGATGATCTGTGATGACACGGAAAGGGTGGCCATACAAGTAAGGACGGAATTTCGAAACCGCCCAAACAAGAGCGAGACATTCCCGTTCTGTTACAGAATAATTGCGTTCAGACTTAGAAAGCAGACGGCTTGCGTACGCGATTACACGGTCGTTGCCCCGCTGAATTTGTGCCAAAACTGCACCAATTCCGTGACCACTCGCGTCTGTTCGCACTTCTTTTGGAGCATCGGGGTCGAAATGTGCAAAAATAGGAGGTGTCGTTAGAGCGGTGATTAGCTGAGAGAAGGTGTCAGCTTGAGGAGGGCCCCAAGAAAATGAGACGTCTTGTTTGAGAAGGTCGGTGAGTGGCCGTGCGAGTGCCGCAAAGTTTTTCACGAACCGGCGAAAGTAGGAGCAGAGGCCCACAAAACTGCGAACATCATTGACAGAGCGTGGGACTGGGAAGTTTGTTACAGCGCGTTCTTTCGCCGGGTCTGGCCGTACGCTGGCAGCGTCAACAAGGTGACCCAATATGGTAATCTGACGAAGACCGAAGTGACACTTGGAGGAATTCAGCTGCAGACCGGCCCTTCGAATTATGATAGAATGGTCGAAAGACGTTCAAGGTGGGTTGCAAAGATAGGTGAGAAAATGATCACGTCGTCCAGGTAACACAAACATGTCGTCCATTTAAATCCTTGTAGGAGCGTGTCCATCATTCTCTCGATGGTCGCTGGAGCGTTGCAGAGCCCGAATGGCATGACCTTGATTTGGTGAACATCGTCAGGGGTAACGAAGGCGGTGTTTTTTCGGTCCATGTCATCTACAGCAATTTGCCAGTAGCCAGATCGGAGGTCGAGAGATGAAAAGAAGGTGGCGCCAGTGAGGCAATCAAGGGCATCGTCAATGCGTGGTAGAGGGTACACGTATTTTTTGGTAATTTTGTTGAGGTGGCGATAATCAACGAAGAAACGCCATGAGCCGTCTTTCTTTTTTACTAATACCACGGGAGATGCCCAAGGGCTCGTTGATGGTTCGATTACGTTTTTCGTAAGCATTTTGGCCACTTCTTTCTGAATCACTTCTCGCTCGGACGCTGACACGCGGTACGGATGACGGTGAATGGGCGCAGAGTCACCAGTGTTGATTCGGTGAGTGACAATTTTAGTTTGGCCCAAGGGATGATCGTCGGTGTCGAAAATGTCACTGTATGAGGCCAAAACTTGGCAGAGAGCGTCGGCCTGGTGAGGCGACAGCTCCGATCCAATCATGTTTCGAAAAATACCATCGTCTGAGATGGGTGACCGTGAGACTGCGCTTCGATCAAGAGCAGATACAGTGACAACACTGACATCGTCCTCTGTTATGGCAGTTAGCTGGGCTAGAGACATTTGGCAAGGCAACACTTGAGGGGAGAAACAAAAGTTAAGGAGCGGAAGTAACACACAGTTATCCGCTATGGTCGTGATGGTATAGGGCACAGTAACACTGCGCGTCAGCCGAACGTCAGTAATTGGCGTAACGATATAATCACCGTCAGGAACGGGAGGGATTGATGACAAAGAGACGTACACGATGGCTCGTGGTGGCAGGCGAACGAAAGTGGTTGGGCTCAAGCGGCTGGTGGGCTTTGCAGAGTACTCGGCAAAGATTGGCAGGTCAAGGCTGAGGGTACCAGACGAACAATCAATTAAGGCCGAGTGTGCCGAAAGGAAATCAACGCCAAGTATGAGGTCATGAGGGCAGCAGGCTAGCATGGCAAAAAGGACCACGGCGTGACGACCAGTAATGCTGACACGAGCAATGCACATTCCCATTACTGGTACAGTACCGCCATCGGCAACACCTATTGCCTGCGTCGTAGATGGCGTCATAATCTTTTGTAAGCGGCAGCGTAGAGAAGCACTCATAATAGACAGGTGCGCACCTGTGTCAATAAGGGTGGTCACAGGAACATGGTCGACTTGTACTTCAAGCAGGCTATGGTGCGTGGGAAGCGTCAGTAGAGAATTTTCGGTCGTCATTGGTATTACAGCTTCACCTCTATAAGCTGCAATATCTAGTATTCCTGCTGCGGTCGTCCATAGAAGCTCGGCGAGGAAAAGCGCCGAGGTGGCGGAGAGCGGGATTGGCGACGTAGCGGCGACGGGGAGCGAGAGCTGCGGCGACCGGACGAAGGGGCATCAGGGTAGCGGCGACCGGGCAAAGGGGCGTCAGTGGAAGGCTCGTAAGACGACGACGAATAGAAATTGAAGGGTGTGGCGACTGAACGTCGAGGGGTCATCAGATGCATGTGCGTCGAGGTAGAGAAGGTCTGACGTGGTTGGTTTGACCAACGGCGGCGGCAATGGCGAGAAACGTGCGCAGGCTGGTGGCAGGAAAAACAAATAGGCCGGTCGTCGGGTGTTCGCCTATCCGAAGGGTTACGGAAGGGCATTGTTGGAGGTGAACGGCAAGCGTGTCCTCGGTAGTAGGACGGGACTTCAGGGCGAGTCAAGGGACATGCTGATGGAAGTCCGAGGTTCGCAAACCCCTGCCTCACCACAGCTTGTATTAACGCCACTGACGGCTGTTGTTGGTCAGAGGCGAGCGTTGCGAAAACGGGTGGCTGAATCGGAGCCGGACAGGCGGCTTTGATTTCCCGACGAACAATGCGTGTGACGTTGTCATACATGGGGGACTGGCGGGCGGCTTCACACGATGAGGTTGCGGCCGTGTTGGGCAGCCGGGTGAATCCCTGAGTAATACGGCGGCTCTTGGCTTCTTCGAACCGCCGGCACTCTTTAATGATGGCGTCGACGGTGGCAACGTTGTTGTATACTAGAAGATTAAATGCGTCGTCTGCTATGCCTTTCAGCACATGGGCCACTTTCTCCGACTCACTCATGTGCTCGTCAATCTGGCGGCATAGGGCGATGACGTCGTGAATGTACGCGACGTACGACTCCGTCGACGTCTGTGCACGAGCCGCCAGTTGATTCCGCGCTGCGATCTGCCGCCCAACGGTGTCACCAAAAAGGTCGCGGATCTTCTCTTTAAAAGAGTCCCAGCTCGTAATCTCCGCTTCATGCGTCTCGAACCACACTCGCGGTGGGCCATCGAGGTAAAAAAGCACATTGGCAAGCATAAGAGTCGGGTCCCACCTATAGCTTGCGCTGACCCGTTCGTACCGGTTGATCCATTCGTCGAAGTCAACGCCATCCTGACCGGAAAATACACCGAGATCACGAGCAGGGGGTAGAACGACGTATGTAGAAGTCACGGTAGGGGCAGGTGGCGAAGACGATGGTTGTTCAACCTGTGACATGGTTGGACCTATGATGATGCGGCCGTTGCGGAGCTTCGTGATGAAGACGGGGAAGTACCCAGCACGTCCACCACAAAGATGTTACAGAAAAATGACACACGGCGTGTCTATTTAAAATCTATATGCAAACTGATGCGTATGGCGTCGACTAAGATGGAAGAGAGCACGCACAACCGAGAGACCACTTCCTCGTTGTCGTCTTCTGACCACTGATACGTCAGCTACGTAGCAATATCATTGTACGCAATGAGCGCATCCCGATCGTCTTCTACTTAGAAGAGATGGGGTTGCCCTGTGGTGGCGTGGTCGGCAAGTGCGCGCGCTGCATCATGGGTGGTGTCGTTGAGGTTGAATGGGGCACCCGGCACCTGGTCAAGATGGGTGGGGATTCAGATGGCAGTGTGGTGCTTCAGGGCACTCGGGTCTACACTGCGCAGGATACGTAACGCCTGGTCAGAGATGACGCCGTGTACGAAGGATTTGATGGCCGTTCTGGTGTCGCTGTAGATGAGTTCCCGGTTGTTGTCGAACATATCTATAGCTAGAGCTATTTGCTCAGCTTCAACGGGGTTCCGGGAGAGGATTGTGGAAGCTAAGAATCTGCTGTGCGGATGATACCATGATTACGTTGAAGGATCGGTCGTTGTGATAGGCAGCGGCGTCCACAAACGAGACGTTGTCCGCTTCCATGTCAATGCGCTTGAGAATGGCACTCGCCGGAGCAAGGCGCCTGCCTCTGTTGTGTTCGGGGTGTACATTTCGCGGAACGGGAGAGATCATGATAAGGTCGCACGGAGAATCAAAGTTAACTCTGGCGGATCCCTAGCCATCGAGGATAAGAGGCCAAGCTCGCGCAGAATATGGCGGGCCGCCTTGGTGGTCGTAAGTCGGGTCAATGGCACGCATTCCTGAGCTTCGGCGATCTCTTCTAGCATGTTATGTACGCCAAGCTCGAGGAATTTTTGAGTTCGAGAGGTGATAGGGAGGCCAACGGCACATTTGACCACCTTGCAAATAAGGGCATTGAGTTGATCGTGATCAGCACGTAGCCATTTGTGTATAGCGGCGACGCAGAAAGTGACACAAAACAAACGCATGTACAAGACGCAGCAGGCTCTCTTTTTTTGAGGTTGTGGTACCGGTAGGCTACTCTACGCGCGAGCCGTATGGCGTTCTCAGTCTTAGTGCTGAGCTTCTGTACTGTTTGGGTGTTGGTTCCACGAGACTCGATGATCATGCCGAGGACCCTGATGGTATCTGCCCTGGGGACTGTACGAGCATCTCTGGTGTGGAGGGTGATAATGTGTTCTGCCAGAGGTTTCCACCCTTTGGACTTGGCACCCCGGCGTATGGGCAAATATATCAACAGCTCTGACTTCGCGGGTGAGCACCTGAGACCGGTGTGGTCGAGGTAGGACTCGGCGGTGTCAATGGCCTCTTCCAAGGCAGACTCAGTGAAGCCATCCGGCCCTGTGGAGCCCCTATGGTTACATTGTCCGCATAGATAGTGTGGCTTAGCCCGTCAATATTCGATAGTAGTTCGGAAAGCCCGATCATCACAAAATTGAAGAGCGTGGGCGAAAGGACGGATCCCTGAGGAGTGCCCCGCTGTCCGAGCTCCACTTCTTCCGACACTAGGTCTCCTACGCAGAGGACGGCTCTGCGTCGAGTGAGAAAACAGTGGATAAAGTAGTAAAATCGATGACCTAGCCCGAGTGCTGCGATCGCTTTTAAATTTGACGAGCCCGTTATGGCATCGAATGCCTTTTCTAAATCGAGACCGAGTATTGCACGAGTTTCCGGAGTGTTTCCGTCATCTAGAATTTGATGCTTTAGGAGTAACATGGCGTCTAGAGTGGATAATTCTGGTCGGAAGCCTATCATCAAGTGCGGGAGGCAGTCGTTATCTTCGAGGTATCGCCCAACCCTGTGTAGGATGACGTGCTCAGCCACCTTGCCCAAGCACGACGCGAGAGATATGGTGCGTAGGTGATTTTTTTCTGATTTATTTTATTTGCGGCTTTCCTGATGATGATATTACACTCGAAACCAACGAGAGAAACGCTGACACCGACGCTGAAAATCCAACGAAACGAGTCGTTTAACGCTTGGGTGGTGACTACAGCACACGAGACAACGAGACGAACGAAGGCGAGCGCTGAATTCCTGTTAAAGTTTATTGTGAAGAACAAGTGATTTATGAAAAATGCCCACGTGTGATTAAAACGTCAGCTTGTGACAGAAAATGTACCCTTCCCAAACACGAGGCTAAGCCTCGCTTCATGTGGTTCGAAAATGCTAAAAAGTTTGCAATATTTATTCGGTACATTAAAATTGAATCCAGTTGACACATCATCAGTTTTTTAAAGAACAAGTCTAATGGGTTCTTCTGTTTTAAAATACTTCCCTTTTTGCCCAGATGTCTGCACATTTAGAGACATATACTTTAGGAACTTTCTATCAACCTCAGATACTTGCGAGCTATACAGCTGCAATGCCAAAGCGCACGAAGTCAAAAATTACAGGTAAGTGTACATTTATTTGACAGAGTGCTTTTACAATATGGTTTGTGAAAATTGACGTGGAATATGATTGAAAATTGTTGTGATGGTGCATGAAGACCACTTATTCGAAATATGGAGCACGAAGAAAAAGAAGCAAAGATGAAGACCCAGAGAGATGGTGCTAAAGTACTCCGAAAGGAGGAATGTTAGCGTTTGTCATCTTTTGCTCATGTCACAAACGCCATTAAGCCGGTTGCAACATACATAGTAACCATATATGTCCTTTTACGCTACAAAATCTTCTTCGGAATCACAGGTCCTAACGTTTTTTTTGTTAGGTTTTCTTCAGCAAATAAAGATTGAGGGGCAAAAGCATTTGTGATATGTGACGGAATGCCTAAATTCTGGAATGGTAAATTCTTGTTTCCGCAGCGGAATGCTTTCTTAAAGAACATAGGGCCTTCAGAGTCCATCTGACGCTGCACAATGCACTTTTTTGTTTTTTCTATTTACCAGATTTGTTACTACCTTATTAGGAAAGAAATCATGTTACAGGGATTGAAATGTGCATACAAAGTTGCAGTTGCATGCAATAAGCTGTTGTAAAACAGCGTGCGCGACTGCAAAGAGCTCCGTATTCTCTCTTCAATAATGCTATACAACACACACACACACACACACACACACAAGCACACACACACACACACACACACACACACACACACACACACACACACCTTGAACCAGTTTACACCCTCTAAACAGCTTGTAAGACTGCTGATTTACGACGCATATTCAGCAAACCCTTGCTTCACTGTCACTTTGCAATATGATGCACTAATGAGCTGCGGTGACATTTCTATAGATGCTTTGTTTGCACTAATCCATGACTTGTGGAAGTAAAGCCTTTCCCATGAGCTCACAGATGCTTTACTTTTAAATGCTTATTCTGTTTTCTACACATACAGCTGTGAGCAATTCAATGGAACCCTTGAAGAAGGCTGTTGTACACTAGAAGTAGAAAATCCAAGCAAGCCTTATTCAGACTGCTGCGAAAGGAAAGTTTTCAGGCATTACTATTCAACATATAACCCTGGTTCTTACACTGCGCCTTCACCACTGAGAAATATTTAGTGATTTATCAAGTTCCAACGATTGTCTAACAGAGAGTACTATTACAAAATTAAAATATATCTTGAGCTATTTCCCCTGCCTTCTTTCTTACCATTTTCTATTTACCGCAAAAATGTAGAAATACATGGTTACGTGCTTGACGCATTAATGAATAAAGTTTTCCATATTCATAACAATCAGAGGAGCTAGTGGTGGAAGCACATGAGGCAAACCCCATTGAAATTGGATAAGCTATAACGAAACTGCGGCTCAGTCACATAGGTCAGTTGTAAAATAACCACCCTATAGCCTGATTAGCTACACATTTGTTGTTACGAGCAGCGTGCAGTATTAAAACAAGAGTCACAATCTGCATACTCAGCTGCACAACGCGTTTGAGGCTGTGATCAAGAATGGATATCACGGTGCTTCCACGGTTGTGCGGAGATGCAGATAAGTCAACCAGAAATCATTAGGCGTGAATGAGCACCCGTCTTGGGCTTTATTTATTTCTATAGGCCGCAATGAATCTGCGTTTTCTGGCACTCCAGTACTATTCTGTATTACATCCTCCTCAAAGGGTGTAAAATTACAAAATCGGAAGTCCAGAAACAATATTTGCCGGATGGTTCTGGGAGGGTAACCTCCTAATATGGAACAAATTTGGGTGCATGCTATTGTGGCAAACAGCATCACTTGAAATAAAAAGAAGCAGCGTTCATGAGGAATAACACTGAACAACAAAGGCTCTTACAAGAAAAGTTAGAGTTGTACCATGTGGACAAGTATCACGCTTGCAAAAAGGCTTCATGTTGAAGGATTATGACGCCAATTTCTTGATGTCGAGTAGGATTTCATTTTATACCAGCATGCAAGAGAATGCGTTATCACGTATTTCGGGCAACTGATGCGCTATAATACTGGAAACAATAGAGAGAAGCCCTGTCTTCTCGCTATCATGTACAAAATGAAGAGAATACCATAAGCAAGATAACAATTTGTATGGGCAAAATAAACAGGATGGCAGCGCAAGCATAAAAACTGTTATGCGTTGCCTGCGTGTGACTAGTGAGTGACAAAAACAACTGAGAAAGATTGGGAACTACAATGGCCACAGAGGCGGCGTTGAATACAGTGTATATGGGGAAAAACAAATTTTTGATGGTATGAGTACGTGCATATGAGTGGACTTGCTTGGAGTCTTAGCATCGTTAATACTTGTTGCCGAACTGGATTGTTTTGAAGAAGTGTCTCAGAAAAAAAATGGCAGCGTATCCACGGAGTGAATAATGAAGAGTGGGGTGAAGCATTCGTCCATCTATTCGTTTTTGATTTTGTCCGTCCATGCGTCCGTCTGTGTGACCATCCATGTGTCCATCCGCCCATCCGTGCGTGCGTCTATTCGTGCATCCTTCGCTGCATTCGTCCATGGATCCGCCCCTGCGTCCGTTCATGCGTCCATCAACGCATCTGTATGTGTGTCCGTTAGTCCATCTATTCAACACTCCAAGTACCACCATCTCGCATCTTTTCATCATATATTCTCCATATAAAAGCACCGCCATCCAGCGAACATTCCAAGGACTAAACAAGAGGTGGCACACGCACACTTTCTTAAGGCTTGCGCTTCGGGTCTACTTCCAACCTTTAACCACCTCGAGTTCAGGGTATATGCTACTTCACTGCATTCATGACACTGTGGCCCAACGCGCGCTAAACCTTTCTAAAACCAAGGAAGTTACGCCCAGCGAGTATAACGTAGCT